TTTGTTCATTATTCTCATGTCTGTTTCCATTTCTCGAAGTAATGTATCTTCGGTCTTTCTCTTATCCCTTGGCTTTCAGGATTCCATATGAGGGCTTGTCTTGTGACACAATTAGGTGATTTCCTTAAAGTATGTACACTCCATTTCCAGCGCTTCCTCCTGATTTCTTCCTCCGTTGGAATCTGGTATGTTGTCTCCCACAGTAAAATGTTGTTGATAGTGTCTGACCAACGGATCCGAAGTATCTTGCGTAGACAACTGTTAATAAACACTTGTATCTTCTGGATAATGGTTTTGGTAGTTCTCCAAGTTTCCGCCCATACAGTAGAATTTCGACTTATAAAATTTCCCTAATATAAGAATTCATGTTTTGAATTGTCATTCCAACTTACGCACTTATTTAGAGGTTATTACTGAAATGGATTTAGATAATGATTAAACTTTCAGATACTTACTAAATTATAATTACTGAATATTATTTTAAGCACCTAATTCTTATCTCTTACTGTTAGACGCTACGATTACTTGTAAGAAAACCAAGAAATCCGCCTCATACTGTAGAATTGTCTTGACATTTGTATTGAAAATTCTGACTTGGGTGTTGGTTGACAGACAATTGTTCTGAGTTCCAGATGTTGTTCAGTTGCAGATATGCTGCTCTTGCTTTGCTGATCCTTGCCCTCACATCTGTATAAGATTCACCGTGTTCATCAATGATGCTGCCCATGTATGTAAAGGTTTCCACATCCTCCAAAGCTTCTCCGTCATGTGTAATTCGATTGTTGCATGCTGTATTGTATCGAAGAGTCCTGCTTTTCCCTTTGTTTATATTGAGACTTACTGCTGCTGAGGCTGCTGCTACACCGTTCGTTTTCCCCTGCATTTGTTGTTGCGTTTGTGATAGAAGTAGTAAGTGCATTAGCAGTAATTGGAATGATTAGGGTTTGAAGATGTTATTCAAGGAGTATAATCCAGTGAAATATATTTGGAAAAAGAAAAAAGAAGGGGACATGAAGAATTCAGAAGATGAAAATTTGGCAGAACACAAACAGTGGATGCACCTTCACCATTTTGAGCCATGTCATTCAAGGTCTCTAACCATCGATTTCTATCATCTCGCGAATTCCAACCAGGTAGTCTACACCTACCAAAATAGCTCAGCAACTTTAACTTAATTGAAATGAATATAAAATGTGCTATCGTGTGGAAATATAAAGTGAACAAATTATTCAGAGCTCTTCTTAAGTTGAAGATAGAGTTTAACATGGATTTACATAATATTGGTTAAAGAAAAGAATAAAGAACCCTCTATACTAATGTCAGCGTTCTTTTACTACACATGGTCAAACATACAAACATCATAGTAAACATAAATTGTTCGGACAACGAATTGGTATCTTGTCGTCTACACAACCATTATCCTATATTACAGATATATGGTTGATTCAATTCTTATTGAGTTTAATTAATAGAGTGAGGCTTCACAAAAGAACTTCAGTTAATTAATTCATAATAAAGTGTAGTTATTCAAATTTTTATTCATATTTCAAAAAGAAAATTGAAGTAGAAGTATGATAAACTTTAACTGATCAATCGCCAATAGAATATAAAGAACTTCTCTATCTCACGATTGACCATTCCCACAAATATAGTAAAAAAACACGGTTTTTTAGTTATATCGGTCAATAGACAAACAAATTTAATGTGATTTTGAGATGATGGAGAAAATTTGTAGCTCGTGTGGGTGATTTTGATGGAGTTTTGTTCTCTGAGGTGTACGGTTTGGTCGTGGTGCTTTCATCGTCCTTCTGAATGACATCATCAGCACAAACTTCTACTTCACTTCTACCCGAAGTACGGTGCACATGAGCTCAAGTATCCTGAGGGAACAAGTGGCGTATGAATCAATCGTTGTTCAACAGCTACCATGGGAATTCATTTTCTTACGACGCCCCACTGCCTTGTGGATCAAATCAAAGGTTCAGGGTGTGGCCCCCCTAAGAAAACCATCTGCTTCGGTCTGGGCACCCGGGCAGTATCATAGCCACCACACAACTAAATGAAATGACAATTTTGTGTGTGGTGCATATATATCCGGTGCCCCTTTGTACCAATATTTATGTGTTTAAATAAAATAAAAATATAATACTTCTGGGATCAAATTATCGTAAAATGATAGATAATTCTATACATAATGTTTCACAACTATTCCAGTTTATTGTAAAAGCGAGGCTCCACTTAACAAATAAATGTTTAACGTTCAAAGAAAAGATAGTTTTATCTTAGTAGATATTTAAAAGAAATATTTCATGGTGTAATCCATAATCCTGAGAAGATCAAGCAATAAATTTCGTTGATTGTTTGAAGTTATACATTAACACCGTTGGATGCCAGCCGGCTCAGTGTTCAAGTGGTTAAGCGGTCGCCCGCGAGACTGATAGGTCTTGGGTTCGAATCTTGTGGGGCGGGATGGTGGATGCTCATTGCTGAGGAGTCCCACAATAAGTAAAATCGGCAGTCCAGTTTTTCCAGGTTTTCCATGGTGGTCTTGCTTCAATTGATTCATGATCTCAACTATACAATAAATATATGTTAAGTACACTTTGTAAGCAATCATAAATTAAAACAAATATTATAAGTGACGTAAAAATGGTTCATACAAAATTCATTTCAAGCAATTAAGGTATTTGTTGGCAGTCGACAGGAAATCCTGAATCTGAATCTTGATCTAATCGACACATATGAGCAAAGTAGATTTATACACTTTTGGGGGAATTAATTTCTCACAATGAACTCAATTTCTTTTCAGAAATGTTACCACTGAGTTAGTAGGGCAGTTGATGACTTCCTGTAAGACTAAAATGTATATTTTTAACTGATTGATCACTAATTAGTGACCAAGGTTATGTTTTTCTAGTCCTTTTTATTGTTGATCAACTCCTATCGATCACACTGGATTGATAGTATTCAATTAGTACTTAATAAGATTCGACACATATGACAGAGTAATTAGAAAACGATATATTTTACTGGGAACCCTGATACCGCTCTCTATAAATATTAAGTTTAAGAAAAATGAAATCGCATTAAACGTTTAGCAGTGCAAAATATCATAATGTGGGCTCAAACTGTTACTATTATTATCCAACCTAGTAAATAGGATACTTGAAAATGAACAAGAATAGTTTTTTATTTCCAGTTTTTCTATATTTGAGCATACTACTTGAGCTGAAATTGACAAACACAATTATAACTGTTACGTCTACCGTTTGTGAACGTTATGTTTGCTTCCCTAAGCTAGATTCGGATCCCCGAGCTAGAACTATACAGCAACTTGAAGACCAGAGAGAAGACACGAGTATCAGAGAAACACTTTACTACAAGGTTCATTTATGTACAGAAAAACAGGGGTTTTATAGTAATTAAGAGACCTTGAGATTCCATAGTAGCAGTATGTTAAACAGCCAATCAGGACCTCGTTATTTTAGTAGCATAGCTTCTAACTAATCGCTGATTGGTTGGGCTCTTTATGAGCCTCTGGAGGCTCTGATAGAGTTTACTGTAAGCCGACTTAACAATAACATAGATAATAATTCATCTAATTTTCTGATATTTCTAGTTATCTATAAAGAACTGGTGAATCTTTTAACTGTAAACCTAACAATTCAAACCATTTAAACATACGAACATCAGTATTATGATTTAATTACTAAATGAAAAATTCATTCATTATACTACTTATTTTTTCAAACATCATAACAAACTTTTTTATAACTAAACATTTTACCTAAAACATTTTTTTCTACTTAAATATTCATTCTTATAACGTTATAACTTTTTATATGTGATTGAGATCATGAGTCAATTGAAGCTAGATCACAATGGAAAACCTGGAAGTACTGTTTGACGACCGTTTCGTCGTAGTGTAAGATTCCTCAGCAATAGTAGTAATTTTATACAAACGCATCAATTTTTTTAAAAATTTAAATCATTATTATAGTCAATCATTTAAGTTCTCTTTTTTATTTTAATAAATAAATGAAATCAAACAAGTATAGAACGAAAACGAAATCATTAGTTAGACAACCGTTTTGTCCAGTTGTTGGACTCTTCAGCAATAGTAGTAAATCACTATATTAGTCAATCATTCATTTCTTTCTTTTTTGTTTTAATAAATGAGAAAAAAAAATCAATCAAGAATAAAACAAAAATAAAAGTCATTAGTTAAAACTTATTTAATTGTCAATAATTAATATATTTTAAACAAGAAACATTTCAATGGGTTGTTTTAGTTTCATATCTAACAATTAAATACTTTATTATTATAAAAAGAAGTAATATACTTTTATTTATTTTATAGTTTAAAAACATTACTTACATTTAAAAAAAAATTTTTTTTAAATTTAACTATAACTGATTACTTTTCATGTTTTGTTGTCAAGCATCCATTAAACTAATGTTCAATAATCAATATTTGATATATGTATAGATATATATATACTACTTTTGTCAAAATCAGCAACCTTTATCATAAAATTAAATGAATGGTACTTATTAAATTAACTCCATACATTTCAATTCAATAAATGATTGTGTTTTCTTTTTTTCTTCAAATACTATTGGTGTATATAAAAAGGAATGTAAAAAATAGTACTTCTTTTTTTCTTTTATTTTTTTTAGTTCTTCCAGTTTCATTATTTTCAATTTATTTGATTATCGTCATTGATAAAAAAACAACATAATTCATAAAATCAATGAAATAAAATATTACTCGTCTTTTTTACAGGAAACATTTATACACCCTCCCTTTTCTATAAAGTCTACTATTAAATTTGTATCCTAGATACAAAATAAAGAATGTTATTTAATTTAAAATAAATCCAAAATTATTTATACACGAATTAGTGGCCCCACTTTTTTCCCAATAAACATCAATGATTGATAGTTAAAATGTAATGATCTTGTAACAATAAAAAAGGAAAGGCTAAAATAACATTTTATCACAACTTTGTCATGGTATAATGTTCAGGTGAATAATTAGTATATTGATCAATAAATGGTATAGGATCTGTATTACAATTTAAACTATTAGAATGTATATAAATATCTTCTAAATGGATCAATTTATTTGAATAAATCGATATTGTTTCTTGATCTATAACTGATATATTAATTTGTTGTTCTAATGGATGTAAACATTGTTGTTCACTCTTTTTTTCATCTATATGATTATCTTGTATATATTTCTTTTTTTGTTTTAAATGATTATTTCTTAAAAAGATTCTACATTTAAATATATTCATTAATGTTTGACGAAATGTTGGCATAAATGCTAAATATAAAAAAAAATCAAATGCATGATTAAATGAATCAACTGAACTAAATAATTTTGAATATTGTACAATTTGTTTAGCATATTCTGGATATAATATATCATATTTATAAAAATATAATTGTTGTCTTAATATAATCATAACAACTAATGGTATAGATAAACTTGTAAATAAGATACTTATAGCTAAATGGGTTATAACTTTACCCCTTTCATTATTAGATTCATCATCTTTATGATTAATTAATTTAGATCGATAAACTGTAGTACTTAATTTATATAATATTAATATATTAGTAATAAATATAAATATAGCTGGTAATATAGCAACACCAATAATATATAAATAAAGAACATATTTCACCCCCCCAGCAACAGGATTAATATATTGACATTCATTTAATTTATTAATTGAATGAATTTTTAAATCAGCAAATATTAAATGTGGTATATTTAATATTAAACAAATAATAATCACTATGGTAATAATAATATGTGCTAATTTCACATGAGAACTTTGTTCAAATTGTTTTGGTTTATATATAGAACATACACGATCCACACTAAATAACATTAAAATAAATGCAGCAATTAATGCGGATGCATCAGTTAAATAAGTAAATAATTTACATAATAATGATGATTCAATATCAACTTGTATTGAATATTTACATTGTGTAGCATATTTTAAACCTCGTCCTAAGAAATCATCAATTAATGTATTCACTATTAATTGTATATTATGTGCTATAGCCATCCATATTGCATATAAATTAAAACGACAATTTGTTTGATATTCAATAATGATAAATACTATGATAACTAAAAGATTTGATGGTATACCAATAATAACTAATATTGGTGAAACATAAGCACGAAATGTATAAACCATAATTTCTTCTTTTGTAAGATGAATTAAACATCCTTTTGAATTGAACATGATTTAGATTTATTTATATTTTTTTTTATAAATTTTTTTTACTTCATTAAAAAAATGTTTTTTGTTTTCTTTTTTTTTTTGTTTTTTTGTTGGTTAAATTTTTTTGTTGGTTTTTTTTCAAATTGTTGCTATGCAAAAAAATAAAAAAAAATTTTTAATTTTGTATAGTCGAATATTTTTAATTTTTATAATAATGAATAAAGAATTAAATATTTTATATTATGGAAATACTTAAAACTGATTCGACCAAATTAAAATGATTATTATTTGATTTCTGATTGGTTATAATAAACTTATATATGAAGTGGATTTATAAATATGTCTAGTATTTTGAGGATAGAATTTGACTAGTTTGTTGTATCCTAGTGATTAAGGGGTTATTGACGTTAAGGAAAGAGAAGTATAGAATTTATTGTTTTTTTTCATAAATGTTATAAGTACAGTTTATCATAGATAACAAATTATCAGATATTCAGTATTGAGTTGTGGTGATTATTAAGTTTTTGATTAAGATTATGAATTGATTGATATTAGACCACCATTAGAAACATTATTTTATTTATTTAAATACATAAATATTGATACAAAGGGGTACCAGATAATTATGCTCAACACATATCTCATTTGATTTGTGTGAGGGCTGTGATCCTGCCTGGGTGTCTTAACCGAAGCAGGTGGTTTTCTTAGGGGGCCACACCTCCAGCCTTTAACCTAAGGATCTGATCCACAAGGCAGTGGAGCAACGTGAGGAGATGCAGTCTGACGGTAGCCGGTGAATAATGATTGATTCATACTCCATTTGTTCCCTTGAGATACTGGAGCCCATGTGCACCATTGGTTTGAAATCGAGGTTTTCCAACTCCCCTAGGTGGATATTTCGTGTCCACCAACCCAGTTAAAGTTCTGGACATTTGCTTTTCGTGCTCTTGAATTCGTGAACAATAGTAATACCACGAGAAGGCAGTGAGAAGGACTTCCTTGACAGAGGTTATATACGCATGGCCATGTGAGAGCATTTCGAGAGTGAGAGCATACTCTGCCCACTCTCGGCTTACCAGGGCATTTAGGGGCCATTAAAAGCATGAAATCACTTAACGGCCGTTTCGTCCTATTATTGGATTCATCACCTGTACGCATACACGATCTCGCTCGTGAGATTCACACCAACGAACTTTAGTTTCACGTGCTAACGCCTAACCTTTAAACCACTGAGCTAGCAGGAATACAACGTTGTTAATGTCTACGCTCAACCAATCCACAGAATTGCGCGACCATCTTCCATTGTACCGTGGTACATACCTGTCTCTACCTGACATGGATTAGCTTCACTGGTTACGGCTTCTCACTAAAACTCCAAGAAATCCTTCACGAAGCTAGTCACTGGTGAGTACATGGTAATCATTAGCATGGTATTGTAGAGATTATTCTAACATCAATCGATTCATGATCTAAATCGTAAATCAATTTATCACCAACGTATATGGATTTATGGTTATTTTAAAAACAATTAATCATTCTAATCATATTAGAAGACTTTAATTTAATCCTTCTGTTTATACACGGTAACTATTACATTAAAAAATTTGTAATCAATGCTTTGAAACATTGTGAATGTAGAACATGATCATAGTATTAGTGTTCATTCTTGCAACATTTTCATCTTATGGTTCAAATAAGATAATTCATACGCTAGTTAGAAACAGTTGGAAAAAATCTCTGATTCTATGTATTATATTAGCGGACACTCTTCACCTAGAAGTATCTTCAATCCTGAAAGAACTACTGCCTTCCGTGAAGTTTAGAGTGGAGTCATACAATGCCAATCAGAAACGGTTCAACTAAACTATTTAATTCATCACTGACTAATATTTCTGTCTGAAAAGAACAAACCAGCACGAAAACTAAGTTCAGGATTTTCTATGGAGCAACTGTATCTTATATCAAACAATTTGAGTGTCATGTTCGGTCAAATGAAGTATGTTGTAATTGTAAAATTCCGTTAGGACGAAAAATTAAATATGCATAAAATAGGTTACTGCTCGGTAGTAAATCAGGGTCTGTTCTTGTTTGTTTTAGATTTTTTGACCAAAGTTTATAACTGGAAACAGTTTGGCTTCTGTAATTAAACTATTTTCATACATGTTATTCCCTGCTATTATCATGCAGCATGTTTTTAATAATATCGCCTAACAGTGAATAAGAAATAGCTGCTTATAGGCCTATAATCAGAATGTACTGTCAGTAAACTATTAACCCGAATGATATACAAAAACAGTTCAGAGAACCTATAAAGAGGAACACTATAATCGACACTTTCCATGCATTCGACGGTGATCTTTAGAGTGAAAAACTAATTACCTTGAATAGCTGTCTACTTTTGTATTCCTTAATTTAACTGCTTCTATCGAACAAGCTGATTCAGCTTATTTACGAGAGAATTGTGTTTTAGCATTCATGAATGCCTTAAAGTGATGGTGTGGTTAGGACTCCAAGCAGCTCACGCTTATCACACGTCTGAAAGGTCAATATTCATTTTAATTCTAAGTTAACTTAATGTACACGTAGTTTACTCCTTTCAGTTTCCAGTTTAATTTTTTTCTTAACCAAGTACTATAGTCATTATTATCATCTTACTTACTTACATACTTACGCCTGTTACTCTTAATGGAGCATAGGCCGCCGACCAGCTTTCTCCAACCCACTCATCTACATGTCTTCATATTATTTATAAGCTTGGTAATATGAAGAAATTAAAGGTCACGCTATTCAAAATGTGTGAACTCGTATAATTTTATACTTAACGAAAACGTTCACTATACATTTGATCTGATTAGTTATTAGATTATAATTTCTCTCTTAGTATGTTACCTTCATTTCTTCTAATTGTCAATCTCACATTTCTAGTTAACATTGAAACTGATTCTAGATAAGCATTGTAACTTGATCGATAGCATTCGATCAGCACTAAGAAACACTTGACACGCATGACATAAATCACCACACAGTGATCAATCAATTATGAATACATCTCAGTCCTACAAAAGGTCGGTCGCGGCCCAAATAGCCCAGTGGTAACAACTCTGACTGTGAAGCTGGGTGACACAGGATTGAATTCATCAGGAAGCACCAGATCCCACATGATTACAGGTACACCTTGCAGACGAGTGCCAAGTAGCACGAAACCCGTGTCCAGGGTTTCCTGTTGACCACCTCCAACCACCATCTTATTGTAAATAAACTATTTCAACAATTACAACTCCATTTTTACAAGAAAACAATCTTGAATTTTTATGCTATAATATTTAAAAAGATGTACTTATTTTAAATTTGTCTATTGTTTAGAAATCATTTATTTAGATATAAATCCTTTTATTAGTTTTGTAACGTATGATACTAGCTTGTAACGAAGTTGACTAAAATAGGATCAGTGAATGTCAAAGCGAATCATACAAATATCAAATCTTTCACATGCTCAAGAGTCCACCTGGACTCAGTAGCTCAGTAAACATTAAAAATCATATATACTGGGTTAGAGTCGTAGTGTGACGATAAACATTAGATTTCAGGTTTCTTAAGATAACCAGTTTCAATTAGGATAAAACGAGTATCCTGGATTTCAATTTTAGCTACAGATCTGTCTATTTCTATAGAAACATGTGGTAAAATTTCGGTATCGTGGCGATACTCATAGGATGAACTTATACCAAGAAACACGAATCAATAAACAGTCACAATTAACAATAACAATTAACGTGTTTTAAAACAAATACACTTGCCCAATTAAACAATCAATACCTTTTTTTATTTTTATCCATTCATTCCCTCAACAATGCAAAATTTACTTGACACAGAAGAACTTTGATCTAGTTACTACATATAAGCTAAAGCTTTTGTAAATTCCGGTTTATTGTTATTTTGATAAAACTGTTAACATAAACCAGACATATGTCAGTATTATAAACAATTTCGTATCTTTTTTTCCGATTAATTGGAAAATATAAATTTGTAATGATAACTAATAACCTATAGCAGCTCACGTACAATTGAGTTTGTTCATATCTAAATTTGGTTAAGCCCTTTTTGTTAACTTATTTATAGGACAGAGTCATTCGTACAATAACAACTTATCTATACTATTGTACGTTTATTATTCTTGCATTTGTATGAATATGTATGCTTGAGCATTGTTTACTGCTTATGCATATACTCATTCTGCTAACCTTAATATTAGTCGCTTAATTGATTCGATGTTTCATTCATTTCCATATGTCTATATATGTACATTTTAATCCTGTTCGCTGACTCTCACACTTCTTCATGGACTTGATCACTCGCCTGCTCACTTGCTTGCATTTCGGGCAATGAATTTATGACCTAGAATAGAAATCAAGAATTAATAGGGAATTGAATGGTGATGGCTTTTTTATTAAGAAAAATCAATGCGTCACAATCTTCATGATATCTGATAATGTAAGATTAAAAAGTACAACTGAGTAGTTATATACCTGGAATGTGAAAAAACGTTAACAAGCATCATGGATCAGCATAAAGTTGTTCCATCAACTCAAATTACAGACAACATGGTTGGTCTTTTCAAATATATTCATAGCTATAACGCTCGTTTAGTCCTATTTTGATCTTGTAGTGACCTGCTTTTTTCAACAAGAACGCGATCGGTATTATAGAAACAATTATTATTATAACCAATTGTACCAGCGATTGTTTTACTGTAGTTGTTGTTGTTTAACTGAATCAAAGTCACTTCTCGTCCCGCTGTCCATCATGTTGGTTCGAACTTTCTTACGCTCTGCTCTCATTGCCTGTAATCTTCGGTACGTCTCAGTATTCATTCGATACCACGAGATTGCCAATAAATATACTCTATCTGGACCAGTTACAGTCTTCTGGTTTGCGAGTTATCAAAGGGACCAAGTCGTTTTTGGGCGTGTAGTCTCATTGTAGTGGTGATCATAGTCAATCAGGACTTCGACCCCTTCTAT